GACTGTAGTAGACACAAACCACTACACTCATCTATCTGTATGGTCCTTACTAGCTCGCACTAGAGTGTGAGGACACCATCTGTGGGACAATGACATGTATTCTCTCTAACTGGCCAGCTCAGGTCAGTACATAATACCAGGACATGATTAGGGAAACCACACCTCCTTTGGTGAGACATTAGAGGCACTGAGGAGCTAGTGAGGTAAAAAGAGAAACTAAAATGTGGGTTTTGCTCAATGCCCCTTTTAGAGCATTGCTTAAGAGGAGGCCGGAGAACAGACCTTTAAGAAGCAGTCTAACTGGTGCCTGGGAAACAGGTGTGGGAGGAGGGAAAGCCTCTCCCGCCAGCTGGATCTTTCTTGGCTCCCACGGGACAGGGCCAGTTAGATCTCAGATCTGATCCAGTTCCAGGAGCAACTCGATACCTAGGCCTTTCTCCTCAATGGCCTTATGAGGTCTTTCTCTGTGATGGTTTTGTGACTTGTCTCTGACCCAGTAAGCTTAAGTGTTCATTACTTTTGTCTCAAGGAAATCTTCAGGCTATCTCTATACACTTTCCTCAGAGGTTTCCTGTGATACAGGCTATTCTGTAACATTTTAAAATGGCTTCGTGGTAAAGACCTTCCTTACTCCTCTTACTTCTTCTGAAATTCTGATACGATCCTCTCACCTTTGTGTGTGGAGCTTATTAACTCAACTCATTCTGGGATAGGCTCAGGGCATATTTACAGCGGTTTTGGTTCAGGCTAGTCTCAGAATTCATGGCAATCCTCCAGCCCTAGTCTACTGAGTGCTAGGATTATACAGGCCTTTGCAACCACTTTGGCAAGTTGAGGAAGCCTTTTAATTTAAATCCACTGTCCAACTGGGGCAGAGCTATGAGGCAGGGGTATAGGGTTCAGGAGGAAAAGGCCAAATTGGAATCACACCCTCAGCTAGTGGTGAAATGGTGAGAGACACACTGCCCGATGCTGAATTTGATAGGTAGGCATGATGATTGGCACAATACATATTCAGAAAGGTGTCAGCTAGGTGATTGCTTCCAGTGACAGGAAGTAAGGGTGAAGGAGGATGTTTACGTTTCAGAGGGGGCAGCAGTTGAGTGACTTTCTTTCTTTGTTCTTGATAAGGTTTTGCTAAGTAGCCCAGTCTGGCTTTGAATTCAGTATGTACTAAACTCAGTCTCCACCTTCCTCAGCCCTCTAAGTGTCGGGACTATAGGATGTGCCATCATGTCCAGCCAAGATTCCTTTCATACTAGCTTAAACTGGGCCCCCAGACTAAAAAGAAGCTGGGTATAACAAGAGAAAGCTTTGAATCTCACACAAGAGCCTCATCTTCGTAGAGTGGACCTCCCAGACATTTGGCTTGGTACTCATTTCATAGAAGTTCTATTGGAGTGAGCCAGATACAAGATGTTGGTCCCCTATCATAATTGCCTGCATTTTGGACTGATACTGAAAAAAAAAAATCTGCTTTGTACACTTACTAGGTAGAAAGAATGTGAAAGAGAGCAGTTATGGTGTGTGTGTGTGTGTGTGTGTGTGTGTGTGTGTGTGTGTGTGTAGCTGTATTAACAAAGTCATGTTTATTTGAGTGCCTCATAGTGTAAGGTATGAACTCTGCCATTGCCTTGCTCGGCAGAGCATCCCACTTAGGGCACGTGAGTGGGAGTAGTTAGGTGTGCGCCAGCCCAGCCGTTCCCAGTTGTCCAGTGAAGGCAAAGCAAGTGAGGCAGGGCTAAGGGCTCCTGCCCCCCTGGGCGGCGAGCACACCCTCAAGCTCATAGACTGCCCATTGAGGATGAGGAGAGGTTGCCTCAAATATTTGCATGATCTTTTTTTGTTGTTGTTGTGTTATCTATCCAAACTGTTGGCCAGCAAGCTGGCTCAGCCGGTAAAGGCACTTGCTATCAAACTTGAAGACGCAAGTTCAGTACCGAGGACCCACACTGTGGTAGGAGGGACCTGACTCCTACAGGTTGTTCTCTGACCTTTACCCACACGCTGTGCCGTGCATGTACACATACAAGCACAAAGTTAAAAAAAAAAAAAATCTAAACTGGTTTTATGCAACAAACTCAAATTTTTTGTTTTTATTTTTTGCTTCATTATTTAAAATCTGTTCCCAAAACAATTCCCGAACCCATGTCATAACTTTTAGCACTGTGCACACACATTTACCAGCAGGTTAAACCCCTACAGAGAGCATTTCCATTCCTGAAGTTGTGTAGCCAGGAAAAGGAATCATGTCCTCAGTGTGTTTAGTGCCTTCTTCTGGAGATGTGTGGTAACAAGTACGTGCATCTGTGCTGTGTCTTGTCTGAATGGTGCCCCCTAGGGGTTGCATGGTGAACAGCCTGCAAAAAATTTTCGGCATCTCCGACTACCCCACTTAGTGTCACAGTGTGCATGTCATGCTGACTCCACCTTCCATCACTGATAGGCCTTTTCAGCAAAACACTTCTTACAGCACTGCTTTGACAGTACATAACGGGTATTTATTTCCTATTTTTAAATTTCTTTTTATTTCATGCGCATTGGTGTTTTTATCTGCATGTAACGTCTGTATGAAGGAGTCAGATCCCCTAGAACTGGACTAGCAGGCAGTTGTGAGCTGCCATGTGGGTGCTGGGAATTGAACCCAGGTCCTCTGGAAGGGCAGCCAGTGCTCTTCACCACTGAGCCATCTCTCCAGCCGCAGGTATTTATTTTCTAATTCTGGGAAATGATTTGTGAAGCATTTCCCAAAGCCCCGCAACGGTGGTAGGCAAGATCACGAACTTAGAACTTAAACTCACCATACATGGGAGACAATGGCTGCTCTTAGCTGCCCCTTCCCTTCTTCCTGTGTCCTTCATATAGAAGGTGGATTGTTCAAATGGCACTCTTAAGCCATCCTAAGGCCTTAAGTGTGTGTGTGTGGGGTGGGCAGTAGAGGCACAAAAGCTGCTTTGGACCCGCACGTTCACTTCTCTTCTTTAGTGCTTGTCCTACCTTTGACCTTAGTCTACACAGGGAAGCTAGTGCTTGTTTCACATCTGTGGTGGTTTGAGAGAAAATGGCCCCCAAAGAGAGAGGCACTATTAGGAGGTGTGGCCTTGTTGGAGGAAGTGTGTCACTGTGGGGACTGGCTTTGAAGTCTCTTTTGCCCAAGAATTCCTCAGTGTGGCTCTCAGTGACTTCCTGTTGCCAGCAAGAAGTAGGACTCTCAGCTATTTCTGGAGCACCTTGTCTGCCTGCATGCTCCCTGCCATCATGATAAGGGTCTGAACCTCTGAAACTGTAAGGGGGCCGCCCTACCCATTAACTGTTTCCTTTCTAAGAGCCGCCATGGTCCTGGTGTCTCTTCACAGCAACAGAAACCCTAACTAAGACAACATCTAAGGTTCTTCTTTTACAGATGCTTGATTTCACTCTCGTTGACTTGACATCTGAGACTGATGAAGTTCCTGATATTATACCTTTGGAAGAAGAAGATTGAGCCAATGATCAAAGCCTTGTCCTCTTAGGGCAACATGCTACCCAGTGAACACAAAGAAAGACTCTTTTGTTGAAAATGTATTATGTATCAGCTTTTTATATTTACACCTGTGTTTATTCCTGTGGCTTTGGGGAATGTTAATCTACCTTCTTCTTGGCTGTTTGATCTTAATTGTAAATGACATGAATTTGTAAGAGATCTTGTTCGGCATCATATATCATTTTATATAATTCTTTAATGTTTAATTACTGGAATGACTATAATAAAATTGGGCTGTAGACCTGTGAGATGGCTTGGTGGGTAAATGTGTTTGCTGCCAAGCCTGATGATCTGAGTTTGACCCTTTAGGACCCACATGACAAAGGAGAAAATTGACTCTCTCAAATTGTCCTACACACACACACACACACACACACACACACACACACACACACTAAAAATATAAAAATTTGGAAGTATAATCCTTGATCAGAGAGTCTTTTTTTTTTTTTTTTTTTTAACTGAACATTTGCTACTTTTTGTTTCTTAGGACACTCTTCTTTTGGTCACAGCATACTCATGTCTTTGGAGGTCCCAGTGGGTCAGACAGTCAAGGCTTTATGCTTTCTCTTATTCTAGAGGTGGCCTGTGGAATATTCCTTTATACTGTGTGAATATATGTCACTGTGATTGGTTTAATAAAGAAGCTGTCTGGCAAACAGCTGAACAGAACAAAGTTAGGCAGGAGAGCCAGACTGAGAATGCTGGGAGGAAGAAGGGCAGAGTTAGAGGAGCAGCAAGCAAGCAGATGCAGAGACACAGAGCAAGATGGACATGCCATACTGAGAAAAGGTACCACGCCATGTGGCAAAGCATAGATAAGAATTGTGGGTTAATTAAAAATGTAAGAGTTAGCTAGTGCCGGCGGTGGTGGCGCACGCCTTTATTAATCCCAGCACCCGGGAGGCAGAGGCAGGCGCATCTTTGTGAGTTCGAGGCCAGCCTGGTCTACAGAGTGAGATCCAGGAATGGCGCAAAGCTACACAGAGAAGCCCTGTCTCGGAAAAACAAAACAAAACAAAAGGTAAAAGGCAGGACGGTGGTGGCGCATGCCTTTAATCCCAGCACTCGGGAGGCGGAGGCACGCGGATGTCTGTCAGTTCGAGGCCAGCCTAGTTTACAGGCTAGTGCCTAGTTCCAGGATAGCAGGGGCTACACAGATAAACCCTGTCTCAAAAGACCAGCCAAAAATCCCAAAGGAGAAGGTGACTTGTTCAGGGCCATACACCCGTGTTACTCACAAGGGGCTACAGTGTAGCTTTTACCGAACTAACAAAAAATCGCATCCCGAGCAACCAGACCCTAAAATAAAACTCGAAGAATCCGGAGCCCACGCCTCGCGGTGTCAGCAAAAGAGCTGTTCCCGGACCCTGGAGCCAGGCTCTGGCTACGCAATGCTCTGTGGGTCTTGTAGTTTTCTCAGAGGGAGACGGGGGCGCATTGCATGGCGGGAGATAGAGTCCTCTCGGAAGTCCTCCGGCGCCGGCGCAGTGTACTCTTCCGCAAGCGCGGGAGTCTCGGTTTGCGGATAGCGCCGTAGTCACGGGCTTGGTTTCCCGGGCGCGTTTGGCCTTTTGTGGTGGTATGGGTCTCCGCGCGGAGGTAGCGGGCGGCCGCAGCGGAGGCGTTGCCGACACCCCGGGCGGCTTGTAGGAGGAGTGCAAGGGTCTTCAGGGGTCGCCGCGGCCTTCGCTTTCCCCCGTCGCGGTCGCGGTGCCTACGGCGAGGATGAGTTCGGCCTGGGACGCTGATTTCGAGAAGCAGCATCTCTGGATGTACCTGCAGGCCCTGGGCTTGGATCCGGGCGTTGGCACCACCGTCGGCGGGAAGTTGGTGTCTCACGCACGCCTTGGAGAGTAAGGAGACCGGGGCGGCGCCGCGGTCCCGGGTGGCCAGTCATTGGCTGCAAAACCCCGCGGCTGCCGGCCTGTGGCGGGGGCTGTTCGTCGCCAGTGGAGGGGGTGCGGGGAGCGCCTCAGGGGTGTCCTGCAGCTGGGGCCATACCGCGGGGACAGCTCAACCCTGCCTTTGTGGTCTGCAGGTGGTGGGAGGCGCCGGGAGGAACTATCATGCAAACGCCTTATAAGTAGTTAACTATGGGTTTAACTTCGAACCAGGGAACCAAAACATGTTACATTGTTAATACAGCTAGCTAAAAAAAAAGTGACATATTAAAATGAAAATCAGCCCGGCGTTGGTGGCGCACGCCTTTAATCCCAGCACTCGGGAGGCAGAGGCAGGCGGATCTCTGTGAGTTCGAGGCCAGCCTGAGCTACAGAGTGAGTTCCAGGACAGGCTCCAAAGCTACACAGAGAAACCCTGTCTGGAAAAACCAAAAAAGAAAAAGAAAATCAGAAGCCGCTAGCTACCCTTTCTTTTGCCACTTCTGTTGTTGTTGTGACACAAAATGAAATACTTTGTTTTTATTTGTGAACTTCAGACCTGGGCTTCTTAGACTTCTGGTTCCAGACACTTTTTCCGCTTTAGAATTTTTTTTTAATGATTCTTTTCTATTTTTTATGTGCATCGGTGTTTTGCTTGTGTGTATGTCTGTGTGAAGGTGTCAGATCCCCTGCAACTGGAGTTACAGGCAGTTGTGAGCTACTGCGTGGGTGCTGGGAATTGAACTAGAATCCTGGAAGTTCATTAGTGGTCGGTGTTTGTGTGTGTGTGTGTGTGTGTGTGTGTGTGTGTGTGTGTGTGAGTGTGTGAATAAAACTCCAGACAGTAACACAGAAACACAGACAGCACTTTTTAAAATCAAGCATTCCATCAGAGGTGGTGGTACATATCTGTAATCCATAATTCCAATGGCTGGGAGGCAGAGTTGCTGCAGGGTCGAGGCCAGCCTACTCTACATAATGAATTCTAGGCCAGCCACTGCTACATAGTGAGACTTTGTCTCAACATTCATGTCTCAGCATTAGTCCAAAGACATACTATTTTTTATACTTAACACCCTAAGGCATGACAGTAGGAATTCCATGATGAAACTGTTGTGCCTCAGTAAAAACAGAGAACTGTATAGTAAAAACATGTACAACATGCAGTGGTGTTGAGTCTACCACGATGTTTGAAGTAGCTGCTGGGCTTGAGTGATGGCATGCACAGCTCAGAGTGCATGCATGTTGTTTGGAATCAAGGCTGTGGTGGTATTGCATGATGCAACATGGGCTAGCAGCACAGAAACACTTCTGGCTTATCACCAGATGCATGTTCAGAAACTTACTGTTACATTTTTCAGGACCCTCACATTCACATATGCTACCCTAATAGGGTATTGTAGCTTTGAGTTTCCAGAAACAGGGCTGGAGGCAGTTTCTGTTTCACCAAGGGCAAGAAGAACTTGGGATACATTAGTTATCTTCTGTTGCCCCCATCTATCTTTTTTGTCTGTCCTGTGTTCCCCCCCCCCTCCCCAGACAGGTTCTCACTATGTAGCCCTGGCTGCCCTGGAGCTCACTATGTAGACCAGGCTGGCCTCAAAACTCACAAAGATCCTACCACCAAGTGCTGTGAGTGAAGACATGAGCTACTACGCCCAGTTTGTTTTGTTTCTTGATACAATGTCTTTCTTACTCCACCCATCTGGCCTTGTGCTTGTGATGATCCTCTTGAACCCGAGTCCTCTGGAAGAGCAGTCTGTGCTCTTAACCGCTGAACCATCTCTCCAGCCTGCTCTCTCTGTCTCTCTCTGTGTCTCTGTTTGTCTGTCTGTCTCTCTGTCTCTCTTTGTGTGTGTGTGTGTGTGTGTGTGTGTTTAATGGAGTATAAAGTATACCTGAAAGAGAGAAAAATTAGTTTGCCTTGACCTCTTGAAGAGAATGAAAAATACCAGTTTGAGTGCCACGTCTAGACAGTTTTTATTGCTGTATAGCTTTATTAATCATCTATCTTTGCTTCTTTCTCATTTTAAACCACCAGGAACATGTTTGACAAACTGAACCGTGATGCCTTTCATATAGTTTCTTATTTTTTATTTCAAACACTGGATGAGTCTCTTGCCAAAGAAGTTTTCAGGTAGGAAAAAATTATTTCATTTTCTTCTTTTAGTTATTCTCAGATTTGAAAATAGACTATTTCTTTATGTAAGCCATTATCTTGTTTTAAATGAATGTGATAAAATTCTGGTGTGAGCCTTAGAAATGTAGTGCTTAACCTTTTTTTTCTTTTTTTTTTTGGTAGCTGAGTGAGGGGTTTGGGTATTTGTGTGCTTATCTTAAAAACTGTATATTTCATAAATACAGATTTTGTTCTTTAAAATTTGTTCCTGCTGTTCTTAATGGTCTTTTTCTGATGTGAGGATTGAGATGGTCTCTCTATGTCACTCTGTCTAGCCTGGAACTCACTGTGTATGCTATGTAGACCAGGCTGGCCATTAACTCAGAGATCCACCTACCTCTAGTGCTGGGATTTAAGGCGTGTGCCACCACATCAGCTTCATGGTCTTAATTAGGCTTAAAAATTAATGGATTGATACACATATTTTTATTCTGGGGGCACTAGAGAGATGGTTGTGATTAAGATCTAGCTGCTCTTCCAGAGGATCTGGGTTTGATTCCCAACACTCACATGTTGGCTCACAGCCATCTGTATCTACAGTTCCAAGGAATCCAGCACCCTTTTCTGGTCTCTGAAGGCACCAGGCATGGAACGTGGTGCATAGATATACATGCAGGCAAAACAACCATACAAATAATAAATATAAAAAAATTCTTAATTTTTTTTTTTTTGAGACCAGAGTCTCAATTACGTGGCTCTGGTTGATCTGGAATCTGTTAGGTTGACCAGGCAGGCCTTCAAAAAATATTTCAAATAAACTAAATAATAATAATAGTACAAATGTAAATAATAGGGGTGTCTTAGTTACTGTTCTATTGTTGTGAAGAGATACTATGGCCAAGATAGGTCTTAAAAGAGAAAACGTTTAATGGGGGGGTGGGGCTTGCTTATAGTTCCCAAGGCTTAGTCCATTATCGTGGTGAGGAACGTAGTGGCAGGCCTGGCAGGTGTGGTGCTGGAGTAGTTGAGAGCTACATCCTAGTCCCTAGGGGGAGACAGACAGACAGACAGAGACAGAGATACAGAGAGAGAGAGAGAGACAGAGACAGAACTGGGCCTCGCATGGGCTTGTGAAACCTCAAAGGCCACCCCCAGTGACAGCCTTCCTCCAAGGCCACATCCCCAACTTTTTATTTATTTATTTTTTTGAGACAGGGTTTCTCTGTGTAGCCCTGGCTGTCCTGGAACTCACTTTGTAAAACAGGTTGGCCTAACTAACTCACCGAGATCTGCCTGCCTCTACCCCTCAAGTGCTGGAATTAAAGGCGTGTGCCACCACACCTGGCTAAACCCTTCTAATCCTATCACATATGAGCCTATGGGGGCCATTCTTATTCCAACCACCACTAGGGGCTTCAAATAAAAGCATTTTTTTTCCCTCCGATTAAAAACTTCATGGTTCATTCTGTATTTTAGAACATGTAAAGACAGACATAAGCATCATTCCTAAACCCCACTAGTGAGAGCATCACTGTTCGCGTTCTAGCCTTCAGTCCTGTCTGCTTTGTTACTTTTTTTCTTGTCTTTTTTACTAGGGATAGAATTTGTAGCCCTGTGCTAGGCATGTACTGTACTGCAGGGATTAAAGGCACGCACTACCACAGTGGGCTAAAATGTGGTATTTTAATACTTTAAATAAGTATTTATGCCCCAATAAATAATTGGACAAAAAAAAAAAGATTATTGAGGGAGTAATAGGTATATTGTAAAGTTATCATTTTTTTCTTTTTAATAGGTAGGGTCTCACTATTACCTCTGGCTGGCTTGGTACTCTATATAGATTTTAACTCAGAGGTCCACATGCCTCTGCCTACCTGGTACTAGGATTAAAGGCTTGCACCAAGATTGGTTTATTTTTTGGTAAATCTCTATAATAATATATAGTTATTTATAATAAACTGAATTCAGCTTACAAATATTGACCTAAGAAAAAGAACTATTTTCTCATATAGTATTTTTAGTTGATTCTTAGAATACTAGTTTAATTCATTTTGCCTTAATGTTTCTACTGTGGGGAATAAATTTCATGTCTTTTAAATTTTGCTAAGCTTGATTTTTGAGAGGGTTCATTAGTCTATTGCTTTTATGTTTTTAAGAGATTGCTGGCCTCCATTTGACCAAAAACATGACACGGAATTCCGGAAACATTGCTGTGAATGGTTAAAAGAGATTTCTGTGAGTATCCTCTTTGTAGGGTAGAAGATGCACACTTGAAGATTCAGGCATGCCTGTAATCCCAGTCCTTGAGAGGCAGAGGCAGGGGGACCCATGGTGGCCTTGGCGGTGGGTTCCAGGCCAGCCAGAATGAGACTGTCTTACAAAAATAAACAGCAACAACAACAGTCCCGTAAGGCCAAGGATAAAGCTCAGTAGTAGGTCATTTGCCTAGCATGTGTAAGCCCTATGTTCCATCAACAGCACTGCAATAAAACCATCGAAACCAGACCAAGAACAACAACACAGACTACTAAACTACATCATCCTTTTTGTAAAATGAAGCCTCTTTGTGTGTCTGTGTCTGTCTGTCTGTCTGTCTGTCTCTGTGTCCGTGTTTGTGTCTGTGTAGGCCAGAGGCTGATTTTGGATGTCTAACTTGATTGTTGTATGCTTTTATTATTTATTTCTCTGTGTAGCCCTGGCTGACGTGGAACTTACTCTGTAGACTAGGCTGGCCTCTGCCTTCCGGGTGCCAGGAGTAAAGGTGTGCGCCACCATGCCTGGCCAAAGTTGCTTCTCTTGCTGACCTTGGAGCTTGCCTATTATTGCTGGTCTAGCTAGCCAGCTTGCCACCATAAATCTTGTTTCTGCCTTCCAGAGTTCTGAGATACAGGAACTGCTATGTCTGCCTGGCTTCTCTTTGGATTCTGGGAATTTTAACTCTGGTCTCTTATCTACTGAGCTATCTCCCTAGCCCCCATGGAGTCAGAAGGTTTCTCTGGTACCACCCCTCACAGTCCAGACAAATCTCTCACCTGTCAGCTGCTGAGACCCAAGTAAACACACAGAGGCTTATATTAATTACCAATTGCATGGCATATGGCAGGCTTCTTGCTAGCTAGCTCTTATAACTTAAATTAACCCATTTCTATTAATCCATGTTTTGCCACGTGTTCCATGGCTTACCTACCGATCTGCTGGCTTGTTGTTCCTTGGGTGGCAGGCTGGCGACTCTCTGCCTTTCCTTTCTCTTCCTGTCTGTCTGCTTGGATTTCTGCCTGCCTCTAAGCTGCCTTGCCACAGGCCAGTACAGCTTTATTTATCAACCAGCCAGAGCAACACATATTCACAGCATACAGAAAGACATCCCACAGCACCCCCAAAGTGAAATCTTTTTTTTTTTTTCTTTAAAGAGACAGGTTTCCTGTGTAGCTCTGGCTGGCCTGGAACTGATAGGTAGATCAGGCTGATCTTAAGCTCATAAAATAAAGTCCTTTATTTCTATCCCTAACACTGGAATTATTAGGAATTATTAGTGTAACACTGTACATGGCTTTCTTAGGTTTTTAAAAGTGGTAGGAGAGTGGGCTGGGGGTAGTAGCTGGTTGGAGCTTTATGTTTTCTGACTGTTCTGTATTCCACTATGGAAATTGATCTTTGTAAGCCACTGTGCTGTGAAGGGGGAATGCTGATGGTTTACTGTCCTACAGTGAGGACACACCCTTTAAAAAAGCAGAGTGAGGGGGCTGGAGGGATGGCTCAGTGGCTGAGAGCTCTGGCTGCTCTTCCAGAGGACCGGATTTGATTCTCAGCACCTACATGGCAGCTCACAAGCACCTGTCCCAGTAAACTCCAGTCCTAGGGCATTTGATGCCCTCTTCTGGCCTTAGCTCCCAGTGCATGTACCTGGTACATAGACATACATGCAGGCAAAACTCCCATACAAATAAAAAAATAAAATAAAAAAAATAGTGATTAAAAATGTAGTAGTTATTGTTGGTTGAATCATTTCATGTCTTCTCTTAGGCTGAATGTGGGAGTAGTTTTCCTCAAGTTGTTGGCTCACTGTTTCTCTCTCCTGGTGGTCCTAAGTTTATTCATCTGATGTACCATTTTGCAAGATATGTTGCGATCAAATATATAAAAACAAAATCTAATGGTAAGTTTACTTATACTTTATTTTGTTTTTATTCTTGAATTGTTATTGTTCATAATTTTAAAATCAAGATCAAATTGAGTTAAACCATTCATTTACTTGAAAAAGAAAATGGTTAATATTTTACTCATCTATGGTTGGAAACCTCATAATGAGCCTGTTAATATTTGTGTTACTTTATTATGTTCTGGTGCAGGGGTTGGGGTACATTTTCCATAGGAGGGTTAGATAAGTATTTTAGGCTTTATGGACCGCATGATTTTGTTTTGTTTTTACAACCCTTTAGAAATACAGAAACTGCCAGCATGGTGGCACATGCATATAATCTTAGCACTAGGAAGTTGAACCTGTGCTATATAGCAAGTTCCAGGCAGACATTATTACCTAATGAGAACATGCCTTAAAAAAAAATTGTAGAAATCCATTCTTACCTTGCTTGGCTTAGAAATAGCTACTGAGACAAATCAGCTATCTAATCCAGTGTGGTGACTATTGTTGGAAGTTTAGTTCCGATACTGGCATTGGTTGATAATTTTTATTTCAAATTTTTTTTTTTTTTTTTTTTTTTTTGGTTTTTCGAGACAGGGTTTCTCTGCGTAGCTTTGCACCTTTCCTGGAGCTCACTTGGTAGCCCAGGCTGGCCTCGAACTCACAGCGATCCGCCTGGCTCTGCCTCCCGAGTGCTGGGATTAAAGGCGTGCGCCACCACCGCCCGGCCTATTTCAAAATTTTTTAATTCATTAGTTTATAAAAATCAAATAAATAAATTCTTAGAGCTAATAAAAATGAATAGTATTTGTAGTTTTTTTAAACTATGGTACTGTTTTATTTTTGCTCATAAAATATGGACAGGTATGAGGCAGAAGTGTTGAAGTACTGAATCCTGCCTGTCTTCTGGTTTCCTGACATAACTCATTGTGAATAGTCATTTAGTATATGCTATTAAAAATCAGAATATGAAAACTTACCCTGTTCTTTATCTTTGTTTGGTTTTCTCTCTCTTTCTCCCTCTGTTTTTTTTTTTGAGACAGGACTTCTCTACTTTGGCTGTCTTGGAACTTACTACATAGATCAGGCTAGCCTCAAACTCAGAGATCCTTGCCTCTGCCTCTGAAGTGCTGGGATTAAAAGTGTGTGTGACCAGGCCTGGTAGTTTTGATGTTTTCATTGTATAAGCAACTGTGTAATTGGTAACTAAGCTGATGTCCCTTTCTTCTTCCTTTTCTAGCCTCAGTCTCCCTAGGACAGACATGAGCCGCTTTGACCAGCAATTTCTTTTGTTTAAAAAAAAAATCAATCCAGGCTGGAGAGATGGCTCAGCTGTTAAAGGCTAGGTTCACAACCCAAAATATAAAGACAACCATATACACTTGGACACACACACACACACACACACACACACACACACACACACACACACACACCTAAATAATGAATAGATCTAGGAATGGTGATTCATGCCTATAATCTAAGTTCTGGGAGGCTGAGGCAGAGGAATCTCAAGTTGAGGGCCAACTTAGGCTGCATAATGAGTTTAGGCCTCCTTCCTGGGTTACATAGGAGACCAAGTCTGGTTTGGTAATACATGCTTATAGTTCTAACACTTGGGAGGCTGAGTCAGGAAGATTACTAGTTTGAGGCTAGCCTGGGGCTACAATGTAAATTCCAGGCTAGCTTGGGCTCATAGCGAGACTGTCTAAAAAACATTACCCAAACCAAAAAAAAAAAAAAAAATGAACGAAACTCATAAATGTGTCTATAGCCTTGGTTTTGGATCTTTTTTCTGCTTGGCAATCATTGGGTGTCAGTTGATAGACTTTTCTTCTTTCTTTTTAGAACTGCTTTTTATTAAAGTGAACAAATCACCCTAATTTGTTTACCCAGCCTACAGATGAGAAACATTTGGTTAAACTTTATAAGAGAAATGCTACAACCCAAACTAAGTTTGTGTATGCATTTAACTGCTTTCTTTTGTCTATTTCTTTTTTTCTTTTTCTTTCTTTCTTTCTTTCTTTCTTTCTTTCTTTCTTTCTTTCTTTCTTTCTTTCTTTCTTTCTTTCTTTCTTTCTTTTTTTT